CACTATGGTACCTAACCTGCTCCTGACCAGGTTAGGTTCACCGGCTTTTCTTCAATAAACCTCGAGTTTCTTTCAGTCTCCTCCCTCTGACACCAGCCCAGCCAATAACACAGCGCTCTTTCATTTCCTCATTCATTCAATTACGTATTTTAGTGCAGTTTTGACATATGACCAAAATAAGATCTCTGTTACATGAAAGTGTTTTCACGAACATGGCGCATCCTTTTCTGGACGATCCTGTTGATAAAGAAGCGATATTACTTCGCAGGGTGTTAAACATACGTCGGGAGAGAATATTGTCATTTCTAGATAACTACTTGTTTGAACAGTATCGTTTTTCTTCACAGTCCATCAAATATGTACATAACCTCACCTGTCCTGACCTATAAGTGACGTCCCCCATCATGGACATGCTCTCACGTCCGAGCAGATTCTTTGTGTAGTATTACGTTTTTCTGCAAAGGGCAGTTTCCTTTACAACATAATATATAGTAAGCTACTGTCAGAGCCACGAGAGATGTGTGCCTCGCTCTGAAAACGTCTTTTAAATGTTTTTGTTCCCTGGACACAAACCAGTGAGAGCCATTGAAGAAGAGTTCCACAGGATGCACCTAAATAAAACACATTATAGGTTCAATACCATTGTACCAGTTTTACCAGCGATATTGTTCTTGTGATTCAATATGAGCATGGGTGTGCATTTCAAGCCTGTGTGTAGTGCATTCTAACAGAGTGTAAAAAATCTCACTTTCGCACTGGGAATTAGTAAAACATATGGATTATGATTAGTGTGTACATTAACTGACAACACTATATTGGAACTTTTATTGGAACAGCAATTTTCTCCCACGCCGTTTCTCTGTCTTTTGCTGCTGTAGCGGTGTTGCTTTTTTTGTCTAATTACAGGTTCACACTGGCCGTATGCTTGCATTAATATTTGCAGCTCAATAGGGGTGAAGTATGCCGACCGATTGTTGGGTTGTTGCCATGGTAAATCGTAGTATCATGGCTCCATTCGTCCTGCCTTCATACTGTGGTGGTGCACGCGCTCAACTCTGAGTCAACCTGCTCCGAGTTGATTGAACCAACTTTAAACAGCTGTTCTGAAACCGAAAACTCAGTTTTCCATCTCAGGGTAAATCGAATCAGAGTTTAGGGTTTGACTCAGGGTTTGTTAAACCTCCTACTTGAAACGGACCCCAGAACTACTGTCGGTTCCTCCGGACTGCTCGCTCGCCTCTTTGGCTGAGAGAAGCGCACGGCGACGTCCCTGGACCGCAATAAATGTTTGTGCAATAATCGCAACAAAAATGCATTCTTCTAGTATCACCCGCACAAGGTCAGTGGTGACTTCCAACACAACAGTGTGACATGTAAGGCTTCCTGTGAAAATCACAGTTTTGTTTTTACATTAGCCAAAACGAAGAGGAAATGACAGATGAGTTTGAAGAAAACATTTACATCTGCAGCAAGTGTCAGACATCCAGGAAACTCTACAATCATACTAAGGTACACAATTGATAAGTCTGAATGTCACAGCAATCCTATTAAAAGCAATTTTAATTACGGCCCAATGTGAAATTATATAAACAAAGAAAGATACGCATTAGTTACCACCTAGAGGTATTTGATATCGCAGAAAATGACGCTTTTCTAAGAATGTCAACTAAAAGTTTCTGGTGTGGGATTTTAGCTTTATAGTCTGTTATTGTTTTCAAATGGAGCTAATGGACTGATCGTTGTGGTTCCCCAACAAACCCCATGGCACTGCCGACTCAAAAGTCTCAACTAAAATCATAAAGCTGATTTCCGGCACAGACCTGTCGTACAAACAACGGCCATTCTCTCCAGATGTGGCTCGCCCACTCAGCTCGTTGTTGTGATGACCGCCACAGATTTTCCATTGCGTGCCAGTGCCACAAGTAGGATCCCACTGTCTCTGAGAAAATGTTTAAGAACACTCTTCTAATCTTTAATTAATTAACTATTTGCTGCATCTCCAATATTCTTATAGCTGTTGTCTTATTCTCTTAAATTATTTCCTTGCTCTCATGAACTTCAGGAAAATTTCTTTTGTCCACAACGGCTCACAAAACTCTTGTTACCTGCATGAATGTGGAAACAATCTGGACGTTGGCAGAAAGAATGGGTGGAATGCAGGACAGTGGATAGGGGTGGGGTCATTCCTTCGATAATCACAACACAGATGTTTCAAGGACTTCTCTTTTGACGGATGTCAGAGCTCAAGTGGGGAAACATAAAACAGTCATCTTCAGGGGAGACGATAAGTCTCTGCAGGGGGGGAGTTTTGCTTAGTTTGACCGAGAAGGTCAGATGTCAGAAGCATCAGCTTATCCCTTTTTTCAAAAAAGCTTTACAACAACTCGTCGTGAAACAACTTTCAGATGAGTGTGATTTTTCAATCCTGTCAAGTCTATCGACCGGGACTAATAGCCGGTGCTACCTCCCTGATTACTAAGGAAACCACCGAGCTCCACAACAATTCAGTAATTCATATGCAGGGTGACACGATATGATTAACCATTGAGATGTCTTTAGGAGGAGGACAGGAGATTAACCTTTCTGGTACCAAGCCAGTAGCTCTTGCAGTTTGCAAAGGCATTCATAGGGAAAGGGAAACTTTTTGGATTATTATTTTTCTTGCTCTGAAGGCTGTTCCAAATGTTTTTCTGTGTAATCCTTTTCCTGTTGTGTCCATTTTGATATTTGTCGTGTCCATTGATACAGTAGGTCTCCTGTTGCCCTTAAAGTGTCACTGCATCATATGCATTGTATTATATTTATACTATTAGAACATGTGTAAAACGGTCATGTTTTTAGCTTGTTTTGTTTATAGAATGGAGGCTTATGTGTCCAAACCCATCCATCTTAAAACATTGGATGCCAGATTCTCTTTTAGATTTAACTTCACAGTTTTTCATCAAATTTGTAAGAATGACTGGATTGAAATCTGTAAGCAACACAACTGGCCTCGGTTAAATAAACAAATAGGTCAGGACGCCAGGGTGCTGCAGCCCTAGTTCTAAAAGATTGTGTGATAACAAGTATTTATTATTCATCATGTTAAAGAGGAGAAGCCAAATTGTCTGACAATGCTAAAGACTCTTTAGTTGCCTTATCTGACCTTCTGACTGTAGCTGTTGGATGTGTCACAGCCTGGTTTAAAGTCAGCATACAAATTCCACAGAGGCTCTTAAAGTCAAAGTAACAATGTTAAAAAGTTCCCATATTCCAATCTGGAAAATATTGCAAAGTATTAAGTGTGCCAATGTGACTTGTTGTGAGATGTTACTCAGAGAATGTGGGTTCTATAATTAAAAACAGCTTCAAAGCTAATCAATCTACACAACTGTAAAGGGTTCTCACCCTCCTCTGAACCTTCAAAGACCCCCTGAGGTTCCTGGCGATGGGAGGCAGGTAAAAGGTCTTCTCACCATCTCTTGGGAATCCACAAATAAACACTCACAGACATACACTAACGCAAACCATTTGAGTCTTGGTTCAGCATTAATTGGGTTAGATCAAAGGGCAAGGACACCATGCAGGGAGCAAATAGCGTACTTCTTTTTTCTACATTCAATGGTCAGTTAAAAAATGGATGGTTTAGAAACATTCTTTCTTAGACGCATCTCATAAATGCAGAAATAATTTGGCTTGAAATTCAGGTAAAGGTGTTCTGAATACTTTTGCTGACTCCTTTTCCCTCCAATTCCATCAAATTGATCCTCTAAAGGACAAATGATCACTAACTGCATAGCCATAAGGTCAACAGACTGCCACGCAGGCTGAGTCATAATTTTGAACAGACCTGTAAGGAGTCGCTCAAGAAGAACAGAAATGCAATTTCACTCTTGTAAATGCTAAACTGAGTTGATAATCTTTTTAGGTACCATTCAGATGAAAGACTAAATCCACTTTTTGTAAGAGCCATGAGGTCTCCTCCTGCAAAAACAACAGGAAGTATGGCCACAGATGACAGAAATGATCATCAATGACAGATTGTTCAATCATGATTGAAATATTGATATTCGAAAGAAAAAGATGTCTTTTTGTGGTCTGTCAATGGAGGGCAATAAGCACACAGCCACATCCATTCTTAATCTCCATTCTGGTAGCAGCGTCAGATTAATATTCTTCTGCCTGAGAGTCAGACATCTGGAAGGACTGATCAGGTTTTGGTGTCAGGACCAAACCCCCATAATCAGTTTTGCAATCTTTTAACAGAGTTCACAGAGAATTTAAGTCATGCAATAAATACAAATGACGCTCTGGCACTGAGGCCAGGGGCCACAGCACAGCTTGGAGTATCGACTTCTGTCGGTAGTAGACAACATGAAGGCCTTTACTTCGGAAGATGCCAACACCCGCAAGAGATGTTCACTGGGCCTCTTCATGATGTTCAATTACCTCAATCTACAAGCTACACTTTGGCCTACACCCTAAGCATTGCCTTTTGGACTTTTATTTTCTTACCAATGGTGTTTTATTAAAAGAGAGAGGCTCAATGAAGAAAACAAAATCAATTAAATTTCAATAGCCCCCTCTTGACTGCGTGGAAAATCAACACGGCAAACAACTGTTTACTCCCAGACCCGGTACCCGCTTTGGTTTGTTTTCATCCGCGCTCTCCCTCCCACAAATTTTGTTCAAATCGCAGAGTTTGATGAAAGAGCCCAGCTCTGTGCTACCAAGTAGGCTACATCTTTACAGCCCGTGCGCACAACCGAGCGTCTCCCCTGCAAGTAACGGCGCGCACGGCGCATTTTCAGGCATCTGCTAATACCATCAAAGTCTTATATCTCGATCGCTTTCTAGCCGCGTCTACGTGGCAGGTAAACTTATGATTATATAAAGATGCCCACACACCCGTGCGTGCGCTTGGAGACGCGCTTTAAGTGACCCAGAGAAAAAGGGCAAAACAAATTGTTTGTTCATTTATAAAGATTCGTTCAATGAGCATTACGCGGTGAAATACTTACTGTGGCTTTTTTTCCAATGTTGCTAGAGGTCCAACCGGAGTTTGGTTTCGTATTGCCTGAAATTCCTCCCCAACAGACCAACTCCTAGTGATACGGCGCAACTATTGTGTCAAAGTCGCAGAGGTGCAATAAAAGACTCCAAATCCCAAATGCAGCCAGATAACCCTTTCATTTTATGTCCGTGCAGAAAAAATACCTCTTCCGATGTCTTATTGCTGAGGTAGATGTCGTTTTCTCCTCGCGTTTCCCTGTTTTATTGAGTTAATGCGAGAGGAGTTTGCCTTGATGCTCTCTGTCGCGTCTCCGTGCCTCTCTGTGCTGGCACGGCTCTCTCTCTGTCTATCTCGCTCGCTCGCTCGTGCGCACGCGCGCGCGCGATTCACTTTAAGTTCCCCACATAAAAGACAGGTGAAAATAACATATTGTTCACATTTCCTCCCACTCATCTTGTAGGAAATTAATGACCTCTCATGATGTGTGCCCTTTTTGCTTGAGGCATTGGTTTTAGCATTTATAGTGGAGAGTTGTTTTCCCCCCCCCCCCCAGTGCCTTTTTGGAAACACATGTTTTTTAGTAACTTGTTAAGAGAGAGACAGGAAGGGAGAGGAAGAGAGGGGTGGAGTGAAACCGAGGGTGGAAAAAAAGCGAGCAACCAACACTGAGGAACTCTGGTTGATATTGTATTCCTCTATTAACCCTCCACACAACATATTAGAAGTGTTTTTCTCCCGTCTACCTGTGCTGGTGTCCAAGTAAAGCTTTGGAGCTCCTCGGGTTGCTAGATGGCGTTCGGTAGGGACAGTAACGTCTGCCAACTCCACTAACATCTGCGAACACTTAGCGAGGTGTTGGTCGTAAAACCAACCACCGCGACTGGGGAATGAAATGAAGTGTTGAAGCCACCATATGTCCAACAGTAGAACATTTCTCATTTGTCTCAATTAGTAGAATATGTTACGCTGAATGTTTTTTAGGACCAATTTTACAGGTATGTTTGCCACTATGTCCTTAAGACATCACACGAAGCTGGAATGAGACGAGTAAAAAGGCCCGATTGAGCATATGTATGTGAAGGATTTATGGCTGTAAAACACAGAATGTCGATGTGATTTGGGTTGTGTTTAATCCAATGTGATGTATACCCTGTCACAAACTGACTAAAGACCTAGTTAGTATACTAACATCTGATTACATGGTTGGGTTTGCAAACATTCAAAACCATCCACCTCGTTGACTCCTGCTCCTGGCAGTGAAAAGTCATAATTCAAGTTGCCTCTAAATAGTGTCGTGGTCCACGACAAATCTCTAAAGACTTTAAACCATGATTTGTCAGCACCCTACTCGCCAAATACTACTGCTTAGTCAGTAGCCATACACGTCAAACTATGACTATGATCCCATGTTCCAACATTAAAATTACAGTATCTGTTTGTTATTATCCATATATTCTTTAAAAAGTAGATTTTCAATGTAGGTTTTCTTACACTAAATATGATCAAATAGCATGGTATTACTTGTGTGGTATGTAAAATAAGTAAACTTGTCACAAAACCGACGCAAGTTAACGCAGGACAGGAACAGCAGTCACCTGGGTGATCCTGTGTTGGTCCTTGGGCACTGACCAAGCGGAGAGTTGGATTTGTGTGCCTTCAACAACATTGAAAGTTACCATGCTGCACCTGATGGGAAATCTAAAATCCCTCAACTCTATTAAAACAAAATAACTTTGCCAGGCTTCAGCATCTGGTTCAACCCGCACAGTTATAAACAGGAACTAATTCCCATACAACATTGCGGTTCATTTCCGCCCCTTTTAAGTAAAGAGAACAACATAGTGATGTGGAGAGAAGGAAAAGGCAGAGATACTCAGTTACAAAAACGGGACAGGAACCACACAAAAAAATGTCAATGGGGAAATCTGTTTGCTTTGAATTTGTCAACAATAGTCAAGTTAATAGTTGGAAGTATTTACAAACAAACAAACAAAAGTAAAGTGGAAAGTGAGACAAAAATTCAATTCATTCACTCATCCTGAGCTGGACGAAAGTGATGATTTGGTGGCATATCTACACATACAGCTCCTTGTTTAAGTTACAAGCAGTATGTTCACCTACTGAGGCTGTGAGACTACACCCTAAACCTACCTGAGGCATTATCTAAATACAGTTTCATCTTTCCTTCTTCTGTGTTATACACTCCTTTTGGCCTTTATAATGAAACTTTTAGACATTACTGTCCATCCCCGTGTTGATATTATCTTTGTCCCATGTACAGTAGGTCTCCTCTTGACCTTAACGTGTCACTGTTATGCACAGAGTGTTCTTTGTAGAATTCTTTGGACACGGGCAGGCTCATTGAGACTTTCGTTTTTATGTTCAGTCACTGTGCCCGTCAGAATATCTGTGCGGGAGGGTTAAAGCTATCTGCAGGGGACTTGCTTGTGGTTTGTGTCATAGTTTTTCGTCATGGTGAGGTTTAGATCATATCTATTATTGTAACTGAGCAAGAATTGGGGTCAAATACTGTGCAGTGTAGACCGATTGTGGCGACACACTGGAGCCACCTAGGGCTAGGCAAACTAAAGGACATGGCATCAGTGGTTCCAGTAGATTGCCAGTTATAACCCGCAGCATGTGGACCATCAGTAAAAGATCCTGAGTTTTTTCCTGTCTGAAACCCAATTTTATACAGGCCAACTACCACTTTTTCAATCATTCCAATTTGGCTGTGTGATTAATAACACATTTCATTTAGAGGTGTGACAAACTCTGAAAACATCTATTTTCTTTTCACCACGTAGTTCTAGTAAACCCAATCCACAAGTGTTGTTTTAAGATGGGTCACGCCCACAGGGTGGTGCTCCATCTGGTATCATTTACTGAAGTGTTTGTAGTAAACAAACCAACTTAAATGTAGGATTGGAAGAGAAGACTAAAAAGCTGCACCTATTTCTAGGTTTGCATTTTGATTACTTATCAGTTTTTTTTTTGCTATGATATATGGACTGAAAATAAGTAGTGCTAGAAGAAATACGCTTGATAAAACATTAGTATGTTAACTAATAGTTTATTGGGAAAATTACATAAAATCTGCACAGCATTTGCACACATTCTATTTGATGAGGTTGTTTGAGAGTAAGAAAGACAAACAATCATTTTACATTTGGAAATAAAATATTCAAAGTATATATCCTACCTGGGAGCTTTCTCTCCACCTCAACCTCCTCTATGGCGGTACAGAGTATTTTTAAAGATATTTTACCTCCAAAGAAGATACAATTGTTATTCATTTATATACATGCTAAAGGTTTTCGAACAAATACATATAAAATTAATGATATTTCCATCCAATGTATATTCATGTTGAGTGCTAATTAGAACGTTAGCATGCTGATATGATAAACTAAATAAATATGACGAAATCCACAATAATTTGCCAGCATTGTAAATCGCTGGGTGTGAAATGGTGTATTTGCCTGGAGCCAACTCCATTTCCTTATGACATTTTGTGCATTTAAGCAAACAAAGGATCTCTTTTGAGCCCCAACTGCACCACCACAGCCCCAGCTCTGTGTCCCAAGACAGACCTCCTTTAAGATCTTTCAGCGTTCACAATGCAAGTAATGATCAACCAAAAAGACAATCGCCACCATGTCGGAGCGGGGGGAGGATCAGACGACCGCAGATTGGAATTCAACAGGAGGTTTTGGACATGTCGGCAGAGAGAAGGGAGAGGGAGGTACTTCTGAAAAACAGAGCTCAATTTCAGCAGTGCAGCTAGAGAGGGAAAGGGGCCGAGGGGTTAGGTCGGCGAGATAGAAGAAATGGAAGAATAAAGGAGAAAGGGAAGGGGTCAGGGGGGATGGCTATATAAACAGCCCAGGGGTGGGCAGATGAATTACATCACAGAATGAACAAAACACTTAGCTGGTTGGATATGAAAAAAAAAACTCCATAAGAATGCAACTTGACAATGACGAGGAAGAAAGCAACGGACAAAATGAAATAAGGTGTTTTGGTCAGTACCCAGTTTCTGCATCACTTTACGGACGGACAGAAGACATCTTGCATTAAAGAGTGTAAACCAAATTTAATTTAATTTGATTTAAAAAAATTTTTTTTAAAGGTGTTGTGTTGAAAAGAACATCTCAGCTGAGGAGCCGCTGCTCTCTGCAATCAACCGGCCACTCTTGCCTCCACCAGCGAACTGGGTGCCTACAGGTATTTATACAGATCAGTAAAGGTGTGAAAGTTAGTGTCCACACCCCTGTGAGTGGTCTCCTGGTGAGTAACTCGGATTTTCTCAGTCAATATCAGTTGTGGTGCTATCAAGTATTATATGCATGCATTTTGGTTGGTTACATTACATTGAATACAATCATAGCTGCACATTATTATTCTATTGATTACAGTTTAAAAATTACAGTTGTTTTACAATATTCGTTAGTTCATTGATTTACACTTCCGGAATCATGGCTGTATTCTGGTGTACACTAAATGCATTTTATTAATTTATGAACAGGGTTGTCAGTTTATTTATTGTATTATATTTATACTCTACAATCCATCCCCTTGCACCAATTTTGGTGTAAAAAAATCAGTTTTGTCGGATGTGTCATCTATGTGTCTAATACCGAATAGGGGCATGATTTGTTTTATATGGTATGCTTGATCTAACATATTCTAATCACAACATGTAAAACGAGGAAGAAATCTGTCGGAGAAGTCAGAAAGACTAAAAAAACGTTTCATTGCGGATGTCATGTGTACAGTATAAATTGACACAGTCAAGCAGACTCTGGGCTGAGGAAGTTCTTGCTCTCTGCGAGATGACGGGTGTCCAGTCGCTGCTCACTATTTCCTTTGGCGCCGCTCAAGTTGTTGACAGGAGGGCTGTCCTCTTCTGTGCCATGTGGGTTCATACCCCTCTGCGCCAGCAGGGGTAGAAGTGCGTGTTCCAGATCCTGGTTGTTTACTTGAAGCTTTAGAGTATTAAAATATAAACATGCACGCTTAAGCTAGAATTAAATTACACTTGAACTATAAATGCATAGTAATAATGGGTGAAGGCTGCTTAAAGGCCGGACGAACAACATGTATTTCAAGTCACAACACCAGCACACGAACATGTTGCAAAAAGATGCACGCACTATCTGGGTCAAATGCAGTTCAACAGTAACCACCTGTTCCCCATTCTAAGAATAACATGTCCATACCTAGCACTCAAAACATTTATTATTATTATTATTATCTTGCACACATCTTGCAAACATCCTGATATGTAGAACTAATGAACAACAGGAGGCGTGATGATCCGAGAGCCTAGAGGGATGGACATCCCTATGCTCCAATGGGGCTCTCTGAGGGTTCTAAGCAGGAAGCGCTTCAATCTTAATAACCAATCAAAAATGCTCTTAGAGACTA